ATTCTTGAGGAAGAAATCCTTCGCACTAAAAGCTAATTTCCATAATAGTATGCCACACATATTCACTGGGTGAGAGGAGAAAAGCTTGGAGGAGAACAATTGAGAGATGTGAAGACAAGAAATTCAAAGCTCTGCCATACCCTTTCTGCGTATTGGAATCTCGTCTTTCGCCCTCAGATTCTCAGGAGAATTGTCAGGACGAGGAGGATGATATGAAAACGTGTAAATAAGCAACCCTTAAAGTGTGACACAGTTGAGAAAGCCTCACACGAAACTTTAACCCTATTCACACAACCGATTCGTTTCGTTAAACATTAAGGATTGCGCTTGAGAGACGCGGCAGTGGCGTAGTCTCTTCAAGTTTTAACTTGAAATTAATCTCGAAATAGAATTACCTGGGAATCGTTTACAATAACAATAGTTTGCCGTGTTTACAGTCTTATTTTAAAATAGCTAATCTTGAGATATAAGAACACATTCTAATTTCTTGGACGCTACTGAGAAAATCGAAAAGTTTCGTATTTCTGAGAAAGAATGCGGTTTAAGCGGCAGCATTCCGTGGCTAGGCTTTGAGTCTCCATTTGATATACATGTATTACATGAAGGGATTAACTGTGATCCGCATTGAAACTCCCTCCACGAAAGCATTTGGAATTATAGAATTTATACCTGAGATTTGATTAAATCCAAACCAGAGGAATTTCCTCATTCGCTACCTCCAGATGGAATGCCATAATTGGGAAATTATTGAGGAAATTTCTCAATCAAAGATGTGGGAAATTCACAGTGAAATTTACACCTTTTCATCTACTATTACTTTGTTATGCCAATTGATAAAGTGTGCCGTGAATCACTTCTGGGGTTTGGGTGGGTAATTAAAATTCAATTACAAACTGCATAGAGTTTGTCGTGGCCAGAAACTATGTCAGCCTGTGAGTTAATAATCGTTTTCCGCAGCTTAAACTTCAGTCGTGACTCATTGCGAATATCGCGAGCAATATGCAAAAGCACGGAGTTCGCATTTTGCCAAAATGCTCCACGCCGTGGCGCGAGATTTTGGGGTGGTCTGGGCGCTTTGGCACCCGATGGTGCACACAGTATATTTCCTCCGATGGAAAAGCACCCGCAATCGGTACGATATTCATCGATTTCTAATTGGAAATCATTTGCTACAATATTAATGAGCAATTTATGTAGAGGCACATGCACACACACTTTCCTCACTCCCAGAGCTCGCAGGGCTGCTATTTATGACTTTATGTAGTGAAATTAATTTCCTCCCTGTCGCGCCCCCGCCCAGCAGACACACAGCGCCCTCATTGAGCATATTCAAATGATCCGTGAATTTGAAATTCATGTATTTCGGGTTTTGGGTGCGTGTGCACCATCGGTGGTGGGTATTAAATTGATGAGGAGAGGCCTTCTATTAGTGGGTGGGCGCAAATTGACCCTCTTTCACTGGGGAATGTCATTAGAATTGATCAAAACCGCCGGTTTGGGTAAATAAACAAATTATGAATTAATCGCGGATTTCGGTTTTTTACCCTCAAATCTTTATGAGCATCACTCATTGGTGTACGCTTGACAGCTTGTCTGCATGTGGCCTGGCGTGCAACACTTGCCGCAGTGGTTTTTCAAACTGAATTTATTTAATATGCCCGAAAACAGCTTTAAGCACTGAGAAAAAAACACGTCCCGACAGGCGTTTAAGAGATTGTGGGATTAACCTATGAAAGTGTCTCCCTAACATATATTGAAAATATCACAGCATGGAAGTGCGGTTTTCCCAGGGAAAATTATGCGTACATAGGATTATCCTCGGAAAAATAACAATTTACCATAAACAATCACACCCATAAAACGAGATTAAAGCTCAAACAGAGAAGCTTCTTTAGGGCGTTGGAAGAGACAAAAAAAACATTGCAGCGACAGGAAGAAACTAATTACAATTACCGTGAAGAGGAATTTTCGTGGATGGAAAACATACACATAATTTATTGCCAGAAAGGAGGGGCGACAAAGGAATGTTCAGAAGCGGCACGCAGATAGTGTTTGGGGTCAGAAAAAGCTGGGACATATGCAAAAATAGGGTAAGCAGTGAAATGAGCAAAATTTTATTATTTAATAAACCTGCTCCCAGTAACTTTTCCCATAAATTCAACTACGCTACTCATGGGAAAATTCCCCGCAAGCCACTATGCTGTGGGAAAAAGTGAGTCACTCTCCTTTTCCAACATATTATTTACAGAGTGCCTCTCTTTGCTCTGGGGAAGAGCAAATTATCGAGAGAGCTCACCAATCCGCTAAAGTATGAACTTTAAAGGAAACTCTCACCTCGGTTGCCGTCTCGAAAGTTGGAGTGGGAAGAAATTGATTAAGAACTACACGATGGGGTGTTTCCTATATTTCTGCATCATTTCGACACTGCTCTGCTCGGACAAAAATGAGCGCTCCTTCAATGAAGATTTATAGACGACAAGGCGCCGTGGATTGGATTTTCACTCCCAGATCCCGATCACACTTCTCCATTAGGGATGAGCTCTGGGGTGTGATCGCAAACAAGGGGAGACAGTGAGGGTATAGAGAGCCCCCGCTCAATCTCATTCTCCATCCATTACGCTGAAAGTGTATATAAATTTGCTCTATTATTGTCGTCTCATCCAATTGAGTTGTCCTGTCTTCGGGACGGTCATTCTCACATATCTCTGGAAAATTGATTGAACTGTATCCCTATATAGATTTTATGTAATAACTCCTAAGCAATCACAGTGAATTGCTATCGAAATGGGTGACAATGATGGAAGAAAAGTTTCCCCCTGAGAGCAATATTCCACCCTCTCAAGTCGACATTGCAAATGAATTCACTCGAATTAATTACAATTACACTTTTCTCTCCCTCATGGCGATAAAATGCCAGATAGACGGCAAGGGAATTGTATGAAAATCCCAATTAAAGTCTGTATTTCTTCAGAAGAGCGCAATGGATAAATGGAGTTTTCTCAAGATGAAAGTCTCACATTGAATTCAATGAGCTTTTGCACTGAATGTTCCTTTTGAGGATAGCTTCAAAGAAGATTAACTGATGAGTCACGAAGGGAAATGCCGCACTGTTGAGAGCAGGACGATGTCTTGAGCTACAATTGCGCTTGGCAATTCACTTTCTTACGAAGTGACCAACAGAGCATTTGGCATATAGGCTGAGGTATTGTGAGATTTGTGCAATTTTTCTTGGTTCATGTGTTTCCTTTGTACTTTGTGAATTAATAATGTCCAGGACATGGAGGTCTCTTCGAGGTTCGCAGACAAAGAACTCAATTAACGTGAAGAGGACACATCTTAGCCCTAATTGAAGACAATTTCTCAGACTTTTTCAGCACACTCGTGCTGTGTTGCTTCACGAGACAATCAAATTGATTAATTAGCCTCAATTACACTTTCAATTACACTGACACGAGGCCACACAGCCGGGAGTTGAGCAGACGGCCCAGGAGGGCTAAAAAGAAGAGACCTCCTGCATTTCAGTTGTACTGTGAGATAATAAGTCCTCGCTCTTCCCAACCTTAATCCTCTTCTTGGTTATTTGTTTCTCCGGGTGAGGATTTCAAGTGAGAAAGATTTGGAGTACACTTCTCCATTTCAAATGGTGTGCACTTGAGTGGGATAGCACTGGAGCTCCTCACCACACTGAGGTTTGTTGCTAAACATCCAACTTAATTCCCATTATATCTGTTTTGCTTCAATGGCTTCTTTTTCCTTGTTTCTCAAACACCCTCACTGGCATTGTGGCTTTCGCCTCTTGCATTCCCTTGCAATCCTCATTGACTTGAAACTCTTCAGTTTGATTTTCACCCCCACAACTTTCCTTTTTCCTCCATCTGCTGTGGAATGGACTTGAGGATTTCCCCTGCTAAACTTGCAGACTTTCTCCCAAATGAGCACTGTCTTAGTGGGAAAGCTGGAGAAAAAAGTCAATTCCCTGAGCCACAGGAAATTGGATGCCCGAGAATTTCTTCCCAATATCTTCTCATTTTCATTGATGAATAGCGCACGGGTGTACCAGAGAGGTCACAAGATGAATTGGCGGCGGTGCTCAGATAAATTATTAAATTGTACACATTAATTCAAATTAAAGGGGTTGAACTACGGGCGCTGTGTGATTTTAAAGTCCGGCCACATTGTGTAAAACAGTATAAATCCATTCTAAATCCCTCGTGTAAGCTTTGGATTGTTTATATCGCACAGGCGAGATGTGTATTTTTGGGTTGGGGAGGAGTTCTGGCCTCATGTATGTAAATATGGGGCGTTAAGCTTTTAGTTTCATACACCGCTTAAAATACTCATAAATTTATTAAACACACACACCCCACACCTACCCTCCCACTCATTCGGCGCAGTGTGTAAAATTTAAAATTGAATATAAAATAATCCTCAAATTATTTACTGTGCCACGGCAAAATTTATAGAAGCATCGACTCGTACCTCTTTGCCGCGTGCAGAATTGCCAAAGCCCAATAACTGAGAGATATGCTGAGGTTTTAGTGACTGAAATGGCTTATTTTCGCTGAGTTTGGGTAATTAACTTATATCAGTATTCGCGGGCTTTCAGTCGACCGAAGTCGGCAAATTGATAAAATTTAATTACATTTTCGGCTTGTTATTTCAAAGGAAAATCACATTTGGTGGTTTTTGTGTCATGTTATAGTCATGGAAATTGAAGGTGGAACTAAAAGTGTCGCATTTCAAATGAAAAGCAAATTATCACCGTGATTACAATTTCTAAAATAACAGTGTTACGATGAAAAGCTGATATTACTGTAATTCATTGTTCTGAAAATTTTGTTGGTCCTTTGGAACGTCATTAGACAAATAAATTAATACACGTAGGGAATGAATGATGATGTTAGATCAATGTTTATGGTTCCTTTTAATTATTGACTTGTGAATAAGGATGAATGTCGACATCAGTTAAGCACCATTTAAAAAAAAATAATAAAAGCATATTTCAAATAATAATATTTATTGTCATGCATTTTTATTACTTATAATCATAAACTGATTCTTCAATTATAATGTTGTTTTCTTTACTTGTTCAATGACATTATCCTAGGTTTACACAATTCTTAACACACTATTTTTGTTAATTAGAATAACTTCACATCTGAAGTGCAATTAACGGAAAGTCTTTCGAAATTCACTTCATTAGGAATTCTTTTCACTTTGTTCAATGTTTCTTCTTTGGTTTTCATCATTGGGAGATAAATTGATATATGATGATATTTACATGTTTTCTTTTCTTTTCAAAGGATTTCTATTTCAGTAGTAGCATTTTCCGTATATATAAATTCGTGACTAACAGTAGAATATTTGGGCAGTTGAAAGATTTTATTAATTTTCTCTTCTTTCTTACTGTCTCAGTATTTAACACGGTTAATTATTTACAATGAAAAGAGGATATTTTTCATCCTCTTCAACATTTCTCTTTAGACTCCACAAATGTACACTCAAAAAGTCCACTGCGGTTCAACATTCAGGCCCAACTCGCTTAGTACTTGCCGAGAAGATTCTCACCAAGTGGCATGAGCTTTCAACTTTCTGAGAGACTTGCAATCGATTATATAGAGTTAATATTGTCACAAATTCATCATTTGTGCTTCTTCGCTATTTACCTTGAGAGGAGTTTTTCTTGGTCTTGTGCGGCGAGAAACACAATAAATTGTAGAAAAGCGAATTCAGAGGGGAAAAGGAAAATTTATGTCTTCTGCGCAACAAAACTTAAATCCATCGAGCTTGTAAGCAATGTAATTTTTCTCTCTTGTGACATGTTTCACTTTCACCATCACTTATATATTAAAAATACGGAAGACATCTATTTTTATAATCTCTCCTCTTAAATTTATAAAAATTCTCATATCAAACATTTCTCTTTCTTCCATTTTTTTTGTCTGCGGGCCTGAATTCCTCTCCTTCGGGGGATTCCTTGTGCCGCCATATCAATAAATTTCACCTCGCCAACCCGAAGGATAAGGAGAGCAAAGGATGGCTTTGTGGGGATCTCGAGTGGTTAACCAGCAAAAGGGGGAGAGAATGCAATAGAGGGTGGATTTGCTCGTGGGATGTGGAGAAAAGGGGAAAAAATAAAAGAGAAAAATGAAGAGGGAAAACGATCTCGCAGGAATTTGTACAATATTCAATCTCGATGTGGGGAAGGGGAACGTGTGTTCTTACGACACAGGACGCCCGGTGAGGCGCACAAGAGCTGGGAGCAGTACAAGAAGTAGACAGTAATTGCAGGGCTGACTGACGCTGCCACATCCAGTCGGATCGTACAAATTAATCCACGGAGTCCGTCGCGACGGAACGGCTGCAGGCATTTGGGTGTTCCGTGTCTTCTCGATGCCCGCTCTGACTGGCACTTGTGTTAAAACTGGAATTAATTCAATTGAACGCCCACTGTACTCCACATGCAGTGCAACAGCCATGGACGGGGCGCCAAGGGTCCCGCAGAGAAATTGAGGGTCGCTTGACCGTTGCATTCACTTTCAATTACCTTCGGTTTAATTCACCGTTGGTTCACAGTAAATTTGTATCAATATGACGCTGATTTAGCGGAAATTCACTTTCCTGATTTATTTAAGTGCTTTATGTACAGAGAGTGGAAAAAAAACCTTTGATGGTGATTTGATCAACTTAGAGTGAATTTCAAACTCTCTACCTATGATTCTGTACTGAATTTTATTTCTTATCAAAGCATTGAGAGACATTTCTTTTGAATAATTTTGCCACTTTAACCGATAGACGGTTTTCTCAATTTGATTACTCCGAATATGTATGCATTAACCTCACGTACAATTATGAATTTATCCTTAACCAAATCTCCCAATGAAAAGTTTCTCACACAAATTATTAATTTCTCTGCAAGATCGGCCCGTGTACGGTGCCTGGTAAATTTGCTCGTATAAGAGAAAAAAGCGAGAAATATTAGTGCAAGTCAAACATTCATTGGGGATGTTCTAAGGTGAGCCGGCTGAATTGCTCGACTGTGCAGAATTTTCCTCACTAAATGACTTTGCCCAGTGCAAATATTTACCAATGAAAAGGTGCAATCGTGTGCATTGAGGCAGAAGATGAAAGTATGGTGTGGTGTATTTACCTTCAAGAGCCGCACCGGCAATCTCGTTTTCTTGCACATGATTCGTGACGACAGTCTCCTTGATCTTGGGCACATCAAATGTGGCCGGTTTGATGTGGCTCTGCGTGGCCTTTCGTCTCGGCTTGGCCGTGGTGTACATATAAGGGGTTGGTGTGGTTGTTGAGGTTGGCGGAAGTCGGAGTTCTGCATCACAGAGGGAATTGGTAATTGACCCAGAAATGCGTGTGCAGCAACACGACTTACCTTGCAGTCGGATCCTGGCCTCGGACTTGCCCAGGCCGTTGATGCTGGAGCACACATAAGTGTGAAAGTCGTCAAACTGAAGGTTTTTCACTGTGAGATTCAGCTGCCACGTGTAGGTATTTATCAAGCCCTCTGTCATTTGATATTTTGAACTCTCATAGATTTTCGTGCCTGTTGGCGCATGGGGAGAAAAAAGCATGAGAAATATGGGGTGTTTTGCGTCACTCATGATGGGCCCCTAATCGCCAGCATCATCCAATGGATGCACATGGCACATCTCTGGGCGTGAGCGGGGCTGTTTTTGCAGTGCAAATGAGTTGAGAATGGGTATTTATCACTGCATCCACAGCCCCTCCTCACTTGTCCAACATACCATCGTGTCTATACCATCCATTTAGAGGTTTGGGGAACGCTTCCACAACACACTGGAGCAGAACATGACGATCCACTGGAGCTGCGACTAATTGATTTACAACACGGACAACTGGGACAACTGTGAATGATTTTGGCGGGAAAAGATTTATTTTTCTCTCCCCGAACCCTGAGTCCATCCCTCGGGGCACTCGCGCCAAAATTATATGTACATGTACCGCCGTCGCAGAAGAGGGAGAAAAAACCCTCAGAAACACACACCGTGCCCGAGAATTGATGGACTCAGTTGGGGAGAATAATTTTTTCGCGCCCACAGACTAAGAAAATTAAGTTTTAACTTGCAAGAGTCACTCATTAATCATGCGACTTACGAGGGAGGCGCACTTTTTCCAACAAGGAAGTGAAAAAATAAGCAAAAAGGCAAACTTACAGATCACTTTCACGTCAAATCTCTTGCTGACTGAGGGTGGAACGCCATTTGAAGCTGCAGGAGGCAAAAGTTTGTTAATTATCTCAGATCGGACAAGAGTTCTCATTAATTTTACCTATACACAAATAAGCTCCCATGTCAGTTCTCTGTACATTGTGCAACGTGAGACGTTCGCCATCGACATGCTTCACGACTGCAACACGGAATTAAATGTTTACATAATATCCAATAGGATCTTTGTCTCGTTTCCCTATTATTTTATAATGATATTGTTCGTGATGGAGGTATAAGACAATTTCAATTTTCTTTTAAATGCTGAATGTTTGAAGAACTAAGTCGTGTTATGTAAAAACTTTTGTGGAAAATGCACATAATTAAAGCGTTGGTCTCTCATGATGTAGCAATTTCATAGCATTTTGTGTTTTCCCAATTCAATTTATATTTATATAAAATTGCCCTAAATGGTCTTACATCACTCTTTCTATTTTTAAACAATTCTCAGAAGATTTGACAACTAAGTAAGTTCAGAAAGTTTGACGTGAACGAAACTTTAAAAAATTTCTTGAAAATGTTTATCAAACTTTTAAGTCCATAAGAGGTAAAAGCGTAGAGTTTTCAGAGCAATCATTTTATTTTTCTCTTCGCTGTTCGCTGCATTTCCCGAACTACACTTTAGCAGAAGGCAAAAAAGATGACGCGAAGAAGGTGGATGGAAAAATTGGCTCATGTAAGACCAAGAGTTTAATATCTCACTCTCTGGGGGATGCAAAAAGATCATACCTTGTTTATCTCGGCCCTCATTGCGCACCACAATATCCTTGCCACCCTCGCGGCGCCACTGCACCGATGGCATGGGAACTCCCGTGGTTGAGCAAACTAATGACACGGTGCCACCTTCGGGGGTGATGCCCTCCTCCTGGGTGGCGCTATTGGTGTCGGGCAGATTCAGAATATCCGGCGGTACGACCACACTCAGATAGCCAGACTGTTTTTTGTGCAGCAGAAAGAGAAAATAGTGTGAGGAATTCAGACACGATAATGAGAGAGGCTGGAGAGGTCAGAGGAAAAAAGGACGAGAGCATTTCACTTGAACAACTGACAGCGATTAAATGATGCCAAGAGTCTCATGGTCTCACTTTTTATCCGCCAGAGCAAATTGAGTTTCACGAGGGCAGGAAATTCAAGCTTTTTGCACCAAAGTGTCGGTCTCATTGTAATGTGACAGTGTAAGTGGCAATTTTGGCATCAAAACTGTGGGCGAAGCCACTTGGGAAGGAGTGAAAAGAAATTTTCCCTTTTTGTATGACAAATCACTAATATTGGCAAAATACTCAACGAAAGTTAATGTAAATCATTGTATTATGTATTATCGTTCAAGTAAAGATCTGAATTTGATAAATCAAGAAAGGTATATTAATAATTAATGTGGAAAATCTATTACTAAATCATCATATTTTATGAAATTTGTAAATCAATATTACAGAACTCTGAGTTTTATTCAAACACTCATTTTGATTCATTTCTAATATTTGACAATGTTTTGGCAAATATTAATATGGATTTCTATTAGTCATCATAAATGGTAGATTTACCAACGTTAGTTCAATTTTAAGTCACAATTATTTAATTAATAATTTCGATATTAAATCTATTGAATGATATAATCGTACATAATTTGAAAGTATAATCACTAAAACTTTTGCTATATGCACAAATTGAAAACATTGCGATTATCCAGCTCTTAATTTACTGTGAGCGGCGATTATCAATCAATTGGGAAAAGCCGTCGATAAAAAAGGTTGAAAGGCAAATTCGACATGCACAATTAAAACATTCTCAGGCGTAAATCGTGCAGAAATGTTAGCTGAATTCCGCTTCCAGAGTAGACTATTAAGCACACTCGGACGGTGGGATGCCAGAGGTTACATCTGTGACCTGGACAAACAGAGCGTCGAGGGTCGCATCAGCGCCCCATCAATGAATGTCTGGCCTTTTGTTCGCCCCCGCCGCACTTTCAAAAGAACAAATGGGATTCAAGTAGCAACAGTTTATCTGACAGTCTCTTTCAGGCTAGTCCTTCCACCTGCCACTCTGTGTTAGGAGGTTTGGAGGGTGTGCTAAACAAATCAACAACAAAACATCTCATCGTTTAAGCAAACACACCCCAGAAATCCCAAATCTTCGGATACAAGTCTCTCTTTGGCTTTCACCCCTTCGCTGCCAAGGGTAAAATATATTCTTTTATGATTTGAAGCGGGGCTTTGGAACAAGCGGGAATGTTCTACAGGGTGTTTTCTTTTAATTCAGCTGATCAAAGACTCACCTGACTCCGCATCGGATCAGTGTTCACCTGACACATATAGCTGCCTGAATCATTAAGGTGGACGTGTGATATGTGCAATTTCCACGTGTTGTGGCCATTATGTGTCACACTTAATCGTGGATTTAGTGCCACCATGTGAGTGTGGATAGCCTTTAAAGATTCAATATTATCACTCTCACGAGCCAGAAAAGCTCTCAATCAGGACTTTTATCGCAATTTCTTACCAGAATAGCTTTCGAGTCTGACTTTATCCATGCCACCTGGAAAAGTTCACACGAATAAGTTTACTCGTGATGTCGGAAATGACCCTCTCAGGTCAGTCACTCACCCGATACTCCCCCAAGTTGTTGGCGACACAAGTGAAGGAGACGTCCCTGCCCTGGGTTACTGTTAGATTTTCGAGCGGCGCCAAGAACTCAGGCTCCAGTTCACCGCTGGGCTTCTGGCTGTGTCCTGCGGTGGAGCAATTCAGGTGTGTCCCCGTGAGACGTCCATTAATCAAATAGAAAAATGCTGTTTCGGAGGGTGGAAAAGTGGAGATGGTTGCCTTACCTGTAGCCGAGAGTACCACTGTGAATTGGAGCAAAATCTTGAGGAAGAACTTCTTGAAGCAATCAACTTTTGTCATTTTAGCTGAAGAGTCGCTGAAAAGAAAACAAAATTGCACCACTTTAGAGCGTCGCATACGCTTTTTTTCATCTCTACCCCAAACCATTCCCATTCTTTGCAAGATAAATTTCTTTTTCCCAGGGCACGAAAAGCATAGAAGAGTGAGAACACAAAGGGCGCGCTTTTCAATTATTACAGACATTCCACGCGAGAGAATTTGTCATTTTTTCAGCATCTGCCCAGGTATAATGAAAATCTCCCTCAATTATTATTCAATTTCCTCCCCTTTGGCAAAAAGCGCCTCGCGGAGATGATAGGAATTCAATAACATAGAAAGGGTGTTTGGAAGCTCCCCTCGCGCATCGGGAGTTTAACGACACTCAATTAAGTGGCACAAGCTTAAAATTTTAATGATATAATTAAGCATCAATCACGCGACATTTCTCACTGGAGAACATCCACACATTATTCATGATGTTGGATTTTCTGTTGATTGAGTCAAAAGAAAATTTTAATTTCCTCCCACCATCTAGTGAACTCTGAATGAGCTTTTGGCATCCAAAAGTGTCACTGGCATAATTACAGTGTGTGTATCTTCATCAAAATGTATTTTAATTGACGCTTAAATTGAGTATGAATGGATTATTTATGTTCATTAACAAATTTTACTGTTTCTCTCTTGAGTATTTTAAAAGGCGGAAATTAATGACTTATACCAAGAGGTTGTTCAGAGAATGGAATTTTGTGTTCTAATTTCGTTATCTCAATTTATTCCAGTAGTTTACATTTTTCTGTTCATTCTGAAAAAGAATTATTTCTTCTACTATTCGAAGTGAATTTTTTTTCTTTCAATTCTTTTCGCACTTAACACAGCTTAGAACGACATTTATACATATTAATTAAAAAATATGTCAGATTTTCAATGAATTAAGAAATGATGAACCAAAATACTTGATTTGATTACCCTTTGGCGAAACGGAATTACACTGGAAAATTTAAATGGTAAAGATCAACTCAATTTTACCCGCGCAGGAAATTAAATTTTCACTGTTAAACAATAAGATCTTTCTTGTGATTCACACAAAGACGCATCAGTTTTCGATAAGAAAAAGGCTCTTTTTATGATATTTTTCATCACTGTAGTAATTTTTCTCTCACTGTCACTCAAACTTTTATTAGGGTTCTTCCGCTGTTCTACGCAAGAGGAACACGATTCTTTGATCATTTATTGTAAACTTTCTTTATGCAACTGCTAAAAGTTTTTTTTTCTCTCTTGAGCTTTCTGCAATTTGTAAGAAATATTGATAATTGTTGAACCGGAAGTTTTGAGAGGGAAAACAGAAGATATTGTCAATGCGACTGAAGATGAACAGTCATTGGCGTCCTATACAGGATATTTTGCTGGGCGAAACATTGTAGAAATTTCAGGGTAATTGCAATTTGTTCGCCGTGTCACTCGTGAATGGTAGAAAGAAGCGAAATGACATTGTTTAATTATCATAAAATTTAATGAAAGTTATCTCAAGCCTTGAGAGAATTTGCCATTGTCGTGTGACTTCTTTTCTGGGTTTTCTCCTCATCGAGAACTCATGCTGGGTGGGAAATTCATCCATGAGTACCGACACCAAAAGTTCCATCGTTGGGAAGCAATGAAATTTTCATGGAGTTTCTCTAGCGCTCATTAAAAATCATATTTTCTCATTCAACCCAAATGCAATGACACTCTCGAATTCGCGTGTTAAATGCCTCTCTGTTTCCACGATGGCTGTGGCGGAGAAGTGAGAAAGGACAAGGAATAATTTTCCCAGGCTTTCCTGGGCGCTGGTGTGACAATTACCCAGAGTCTCTTTGTGGTATCAGACATAAAAAAAAGACTCCCTCAGAAACTTTGAATAAATCTACATTATAATGCACGAGGAACAAAAGGAGCGCACACGATGGTGGGAAAAAACATTGATTGTCTGATGAGAGATATTCTCCATGTGGCTCACGGGAGAGTTTTCACGTATTGTTGCACGACACTCAATTAAAGCGCATTGCTTAAAATTCTCCACGAGAACCCGAGGTAAATCATCTGTCCAGAGGCTATCTGAAACATAGTTTAAATAGACTTTTGTATGCATCATGAAAAATTCAATAAATTACCAGAGGAAAGTAAAAAGTTGCCACTTTTCCCATTTGCAGTTTTTTTCCAATTAACTCAATGGGATTCATGGAAAAATGGCAAGTGTGAGCAAATTTTCCTCCTTTAATCGAAAACCATGCGATATTACTATCTTTCTCATCACTGTATCCTTTCTCACCATGAATGCACTTTCTTTTGTCCATGTAATTACTTTCTTCCAGGTGAACCGAAGCGATTTCCCTCGCGAGATGCCCGAGAAGGTGAAAAGAAGCATGGAAATTCAATGGAAATTTATCTTCAGCATTAGCCTGAAAATGGTCGTGAGTACGTGAATTTTCCTTGGGCATTGTCCCATTTTCGAGATGAAACCCTGAGAATTTTGTTGTACACCATGTGTTTGTCGGTACATGAAAATGCACCTTAGCATCGTCCGAGAAAATTTCCACGTGGAAATCGCCTCAGAGATATTTTAAGCAGCAAAAGTGGTCAGACAGAAATGGGATGAAGTTCCAGTGGAGCAGAAATGGAAAATCCCATGAGGGTTGGCAAATGAGACAATAAGGTTTTGGGGTACGGTGAGAATTGAGGTCAGGCGAATGCCGTCAACAATTCCATTTGGTCCATAGAGAGAATGCTCTGGGTAGGAGGAGAACAACAAATGATGTGCTCCAAATTGAAACATTTAAGATTGCAAAATGGGGATAATTAAAATTTTACTCTAACGAGATACAACAATGTTTGAATTTTTCAGGGTGGGGAAAAGCTTCTCTTTCGCATCCCATTTTGACGGTGGCAAAGAGTGAGGGTTAGCTTTTAGGTGGATGGCTTTTTCCCGGACTGCTTCATGGTTTAGAAGTCACAGATATTGCAATTGAATTAAATTGTTAATGGGCACTTTGCATGAAATGAAATTGAGAAGAAAAACTTCTTAGAACCTCGGAGATAAAAGGAGATTCTGAAGATGTTGAATTTAAAATCTTTAAGGTAAAATCTTAATGACTCCCAATTCCAGGACAGTTCGTATTTTAAACACTTGCACTCCACCAATTTAGACCAAAGAATCACACATGTATTTAACATTTTCAGGTTTCTCTTGAAACTTAAATTCGGAAACAGGAAGCACGAACTGAGAGCCAAATGAAGCATTCTCGTGGCTGATTATGGATTTTTTTGCTCTCAAACTTTACCATCCTTGTGAAAATGTGATCAGACTTTTTCAGCAGCTTTTCCACTTCGCCAGAGGAAAATCACTTGAGGGAGTGAGTAGAGTTTTTTGTCTATTAAATTTGCAAGTCTCATCGAAAATACATTAACCTCCTCGATGGCAAGAGGTTTGAGGAAGTACACATAGAACTGTATGAAACATGACACGAGTGCAAGTCCGAAGTGTCCCTCGGCGCGTTGGAGGAGTGGAAAAGTCAAGTATTTCAGCAATGTTCAGTCGACTGGAGCTTCTGAGCAGGGGATGTGGGTGGGTATGGAAAAGAGGTCGATTTGGTCATGCAAGTAAATGGGAAATCTTGCGGGATTCACAATATTTTGGCTCTAGTGAGATGTCGTTCGATCGCTTGTGGGAAATTGAATTTAAATTTATCCCTTCTGTTTTTCATCCCTCCCAGTGAGCCGCCAAAGCGCCACGGAGCTCTTTTTCTCAGCTGGCACCCCCGCCCCCCACGTGCCCTGCTGGGATTTGGAAAATGGGGGTTGAAATGTCGAACAGTGATTTCTCTCCCAGAAGATCTCCTCGCCATCCCCATCGTCACCGGGTGGAAGAGTGTGTGTCGTCGCAAGGGTAAGCAGAAAATCGAATTGACTGCCTGAGAAAGTGTGCATCATCCACTTGAATCCATTCCGTTCCACTTTTATTTCACTCAATCCCATCGATATTCGCTGGAATGAAAATTCCCATGAAATCATCTCATCGGCAGTGTGTGTAAATTCACCCCTCCGACAAAGTCACACGTTGTTTATTGACATCTTATGGATTTTTAGAGTTGATTAGGAGAGATTTCACCCATGGAGATAAATTGCTGAAGAATTTATTTTCATTCCCAACTTTCTCTGCCGCCAAATTGATTCCATCGCATGAGACACTATCTAAATCTCCTAAGAGAGTTTCACAAGAGCTTTGGAGCTTTTTTTCCCATCGTGAGGAAAGAGCAACGGGGAGTCAATGGGATGGAAGAAAGATGGGCAGGTTGTCTACAAGAGTCATCATCAGAAACGGTTTGAAAAGTAGAAAATATGCTGGCAAATCGCAGAGAAATTAAAACAGCCCAAAGAGAAGACAGTGGCTTTCATCATCCAATGTCATACCTTCATCGTTACATTTTGGATTAGAATATAACCCACATTTTCAATAGATTAGTCTATGTTTAGCAATATATACAACAAGATTACTAAATGTTTATTTGTAAAATTTCAACAAAGTCCCTTTATTAAGGTTTATCTGCATAATTCTTCCACAAAATCGGTGGAAAAGTTACCCTTGCACATGTGAAGCTAAGGATATTTCCTTATCTTCCCATTCATATTCAAAACTCTGTGAAGGTATTGTTCAGTAAATTGTTGTCATCTGATTACGTCCTTGACAGGAAGATTCTGTGCATAATTCAAGAGCTTAGATTACTGGAAAGCTATTCAATTCGTAATGCGACAACGGGTGATATAATTGACGAAGAGTTGACCCTAAGCCTTCGCTAGTTTTCCCAATTCTCTACAAATATTTCATACCTTTCTCTCTCAAGATATTCGTAACCACCCATCCCTGAGGTAATGTATGATGAGGTCGAAGGAGAACAGTGAGAACCTCTCTCCTCTGCATCGCAAACTTTGGCCAATTGTCGAGGAGTGTGGGTGCAAAAGTTTCATGTGGGGGTTGGTAGAGGCAGTTGAAAGTTTCTAAAATAG